GAGGACCAGGGAGAGGCCCTGGGTGAGCTGTAAGGTGATGAACTTGGCGTTCCTCTCTGCTGGCAGAGAAAGGCGCATAGACAAATAAATGGATAAACAGAAAAAGTAATATTTCTGGAAAAGCTATGCAGGTGAAAGGGTGCGCATTAAAGTTTGAGCAGATGTTCATTTAGCATTGTAGAGGAACTGTGAAAAAAAAACAAACGTATATAATAAATGGCCAACAATTCATTCACCCAGGGGTTAGTGACGTCCAACTTTTAAAAGGGAGTTGTTTTTTTGTTTTTGAACTAGGTGTCGAAAATGAGTAGTATCAGACTGTGACATCACTGCAGACTGATGACATAATAATTTATCAATAACAAGGCAGCTACACCCTCAACAATACCCTGATTTATTGCTTATTTTACTCTAAAATTGGACATAATTTGCAAAATAAATACCATGACCTATTAAATATGACTTCTGATTGAAATCATAAAGCCATCAGGGAACATTTTAATGAGATTTCAGGAGATTTTTGTGTTTATTTAATTTTTACATTCTCTTTTAAATTTCCTTATTATTCTAGCATCCCCAGTTTTCCTTCTGTAGTTTGGTGTCAACGATGACCTTGGAGTGATCGTCAGCTCTGGAGTTAACATTTATGATGAAGATCTTACTCCTTTTCACAAAAATAAGAACTTTGAAAACAGTAAAGTCAGTATAAATTTTAGTATAAGTGGGGTGCGGGATGCTGTCCAGCTAGACAAAGTAAAGCTGCAAACCAGTGCAGTGGTTCTGGGGTTAACAGCTCCTTCTTGCGCCCCTTGCTGGTTCTGCTGCTGCTGCCTCTGCTCCTGCAGCCGTTTCTGCCTCTGGCGGTCTTGGTTCCTGGTGAGGATCCCTGTCATGCTCATTCTCGGCCCAGGTAGGTTGAACTGGTAACCCAGTTTGATCAAAGTGTAGTTTTCCCTCAGAATTTTCACCATCTCCATTTCCACCTGCAAGACGTGTTTGCTCATGATGATGTCATGATGTCATTAGCACAGCACAGACACAGAATAGGAATGAGAAGGAAGAAATCCAACCTGTCCTCCACACATGTGCCTCTGGTTATGAAACCTGAGCTCCGTCAAGGTGTTGTTTCCTGGTAGTGCTTGAACCAGAGCCATCACACCTTTTCCAGACACATAGTTAGACTCTATATTCAGGCTGATGATGGAGGAGTTCTCCTTTAGCATCTTAGCAATGGCCAGAGCCACGTGGTCGTCAGCTCGAGTGTTTGCGAGGCTGAAGGTTCTCACGTGTGTGTTTGACCTCAATGCTTCAGCAAATCGGATGAGAGTTTCCTGAGAAGTAAATTATTAGTATTTATATTCTTCAGACATATCAGAACCTCGAAGCACAGACCATTATAAAAAGTGAAAGATAATATGATTCTGTTCCCTTCAGCACTGCCACCACCACATAGACGCCAGGACATTCCTGAAGTCATCTGACACTTCAGAAAGGCCAGTGTTTACCACACTGACACAAAGCCTTGGTCCCAAGCTGCTGTTACAACAATACTAAAATTAGCCGCAACTTGTATGAGTAACTTTCCTGCTTCTATTGTGCAACCCACCGGAATGGCTTTAGCATCAAACACCGATTTTAGAGCACATGAGAAACTGGGACTGTTTTGGAAAGCCACACCACTCCAAACCTTCCAACACATTCAGTTTTTAATGTGGTTCCTTAGGAAAATCGATTGCCGACCCCTGAATCTCATGGGTGGTTTGGACTTGCCAGCCTCAGCCAGGGTGACAGCTGCAAGCATCTATTTTAGTCAATGAGAAATAATTTGGAAACTAACGTGATCATCTCATGACTTCGTTTCTAGGATGCTAATGTGGATAAAATTTAAAAAGCTGCTAAAAAATGTAGTCATCATCGGAAGATAGCTGATTAGCATTTTGCTCAGTTCTTTCCTTTTTGCTAAAAAGGCCTGCAAAGTGTCCTGTAAAGAACTTCCTGTATCTTCATCTGCCTGGTTGTGAAATTTAGCTAAAAGTTGAGCAAAACTGCTGGATTTGGAAACAAGGCTTATAGATCTAAATTTCACAAAGTCACAAATTTGTTTAACTCACGATAGAGCTGATTGCAAACCTGTTTTGTTTGATTGCCTTATGATAACACAAGTGAAGCAACACACAGAAGGATCAAAACCTAAATGAACCTAATGTTGTGATTCATGCAATTCTTAGTCAGCAGCTAATTGTTATTATTATTATTATAACCATAGTTATCTGCATTTCCTGTGACATGTTGGTGAAGATATTTTGTGAAATTAGTTTGTTATGAAAGAATTTTATTTGTACCTGTGAGATGTCATCTATATTATTGAGATTAACCTCAGTGAGTTCAGAGTCATTTCTAAGCACTCGCTGCAGAGCGTCATCGACTACAGTTGGGTTTCCAGTGGTGTTCGGGTCAGCAGGTGGTGGAGGAGGAGGAGGAGGAGTCCGCCTAATAGGCTCCACCCTCTGGGGCTTGAGTAGGGTTAGGTTCTCGGCCCACGACGTCACCTGCCCTGAATTTTTTGACGGTTCAGGTTTTGATTTATTATTTTGTTCTTCTTCCTCCTCGTCCTCTTCTTCCTCCTCTTCTGTTACAGGTTCTTCTTCACTCTCCGTCTCTTCTTCCTCTTCTTCCTCTTCTTCATCACTGTTCTCTGCTTCCTCTTCTTCCTCACTTTGTTTTTCATTCTTTTTTTGCTCCTTCTCATTTTCATCATCTTTGTCCTCTTCTCCTTCACTGGTTTCTTCTGTCACACAGTCCTCCTCCTGTTCTTCATCCTGTATTTTAATACAGTTAATGTCTGTGAAGGTTCTCAGTCATCCAGACCATCGTAGTCTAAAGAGCTTGGAAAGAAAAGCGTCTGGATTCTTTAAGTTGCTTGAAGACGTTTCACCTCTCATCCGAGAAACTTCTTCAGTTCTAAGGTCAGATCTAGGTAGAGGATCAACAGGGGGTTCATGACCCTCTTGGGGGACACTCTGCTAGGACTTAAATCTGGGACTGTCCACCATTTGACCTTAGAACTGAAGAAGCTTCTCGGATGAGAGGTGAAATGTCTTCAAGCAACCTAAAGAAGTCCAGATGCTTTTCTTTCCAAGCTCTTTAGACTAATACAGTTAATAAAATCTTGAAATGCTAGCAGGATCATGTGATATGGACAGCGTCTTACTAGAAGAATTTGTAATAATGTTACTTTAAGTTACTCTGTTCTTTGGCAAAACTAATAGAACACCAGAACCAAAACATAAAAATAAAATAAATGTTAACACTGACCAGTTTTGGACTTGCTCCACCTAACTCATCCTCCAGCAGTCTACGTGTCTCGTTCTCCCAGTACTTCATGAGGGCCTCTCTGCTGAAGGTGCCTGTCGGGGTCTTATCTGTCTGGTCTCGCTGTCTGAGTCCTATGGGCACATTGGCATCAGGATCGATGTCCGACAGCTCCTTTTCCAACTCAGCCAGCTCCTCGGCGCTGAGAGAAGCCAAAAGCTCATCTTCATCAAGGTCTTCATACTTACTCAGCTCTCGACGATACCCAAAACAGCTCATGGCCAAAGTGTGATAAGCACAGAAATGCAGACAGGCCGGTTCTTGGTTTGCTTATGATCTGGTGTAGACCCCAAAATGAAGACGCTTGGGATTGGAAATTCCAACAAAAGATACGGTCCACTATGAAACTAGTAGAAATTCAAAGTTAATTCAGGTCTTTAATGGCAAAGAAAAAAGTTGTCTGCACATTCTGGATCCAGTCTTCTGCCACTGAAGCCCACTCCAGTCTGAACCAGATCTGTCCTGGCCAACCAAGTTTATGTGACGGAGATCCTCCGTGTGTGTCCGTGGCCTCTCCTCTCTAATCTCCACAGCTGCTGTTCAGGCCTTAAGAGAGGGATCAGAGGGGAACGTACTAAAGTGTAGGCACCATGATGCAGCATCTTTTTTTGGGAGGTGCTGCTCTGAGAGGCAGAGACACAAAAAGCCTGTGAGCTCAGAGACCATGTGTCCTGTCAATGTAGTAGTCTGTAACCTTTGTTTATAGCCAACTGGGCTCAGAATATAGTCAACACAAGAAGTAAGACGCATGACATATAGTTGAAAAAACGGCACAGGCTTGGCCGCTACATATCCTTCAGCAAAAAGTTCTCTTTCTCTTTTATGCCAGTCTTGATGAATTTATAAACACATAAAATAGTAGATAAACATATTGAGTGAGGGACAAAAGCCTTATTTATATTGAATTCTGCCAACTTTAGTTGGTTTACCCACCAAAGAAATGGGACCTAAAATGTAACATATATTTTATTAGCCACAAGTTTTGGGTAGTGGCCACTGAGATTCAAAAGGTGGCTGGGCTCTCCCTTGGGGACATGGGGAGGACCCTTGCAATGTGGAAGATGGTGTTCTTACCCATATGGAAAAGATATATATAAATCTTATAAAGTTTTTATCTGTCTTGTATGAAACTTGTATGAAAAGCATACAAGAGTGAAAACACATATAAGATCCCTTGAAAAATTATATAATGAAACTTGTATGTTTTGTATACTTACTAAAAAAATATATGAAAGTAATGAGAAAGAGATCTGAGATACTCAGATCCCGCCTTTCAATACCTCCCAATAATTCAAACCTAGAGGAAAATTAAGCTGTGTTAGGGGGTGAACAGTGGGTATTACTGGTCATGAAATCAGGCTTTAAATTCAGTAGAATGCTCACCACAGATTCTGTCTCTTCATTCACTAATGTCCACTAATACTAAACCTCGTTTTGTTTAAAAGTTTTAGTTTTAAAAAATATCAGTTGCAAGAACTGATTTCGTTTGATTTCTTTTCTTTTGGTTGTGCACAGACTCCTGACTATTAACTCAAATAGAAAACAATAAATTCATTCTTTGGTAATTGGATGTCATCAGATCATAAAGAAACAGAGGTTACACAACTTTGTAAATGTCACAGTTTATTATATTTCACTGATATTATGACTTTTATGTTTACATTTTAAGACACCAGATTGTCAAGACACTAAAAAAGAAGGATGAAACAATTAATGCGAGGTTTACCCGTCATCTCTTTAATGGCCATGTGGGCTTGAGATTTTGTTAACCCTTAGACACATAAGTGGGTCAAAAAGGATCTGGTGTGGTCTTTTCCTTGCAATATCTAATTAATGAAAAGTTGTTATAATTTCATGTTCCAACTATTCCTTAAAAAAGTGTTTTTGATATTACACCAATGACATTTTTAACTTACCTTTTATACATGTACAAAGTTTTAGTTTTTGTGTTACTACCCCAAGCTTCCATAAGTGGGCCAAAAATTACCCGTAATCATTTCCTATGGAATTTCATGGGAACCTTTGATTATTGTCAACTGCGACTGTCAGGAAAATATATTTTATTGAACACAAAGAGTGTAACACGTTAAGAAGATTATTTTAAACAGCAAGAACTAGCAGGCAGCACACATTTACCACTTACAGTGATTGTGTCACTGTAGATAAACAGCTTGTGCTGTTCAGGGGGAGGTTCAAATTTCTACAGTAGATGCCAAACAAGCTTGTCATAGCCAAAAGTTCTTCTGAGTCTGTGATGCATGCATCCCTTATGCAAGAACTGGACGTGTTTGTATTGGGAGACAGTCAGGGGAAGAAGTTCAGAATCTGGGGGAAATCCCGGTCCAGCAGTTTTGCACTAGGTTCAAAAAGACAAGACGCAACATCACCACAGATAATGTTGCCTCCTGTGCAGTGTCTTCTAAAGAGGTTTACAGCACAGAGTTTGCATTCAGCGGTACGGCATAGAGGAAAATACCAGAAAGGATTTTAAAAAAAAACCACAATTAATCACATTCTACGGTTTGTTGGCACCTACACCTGCCAGTGTAAAACACAGAGGTGGCCCATGGTGCTGTGGTGCAGCTTCACATTGGTATCTGGCATCGCAACTGCATGACGGGTCGTCCTCACCGAGCTCTCAAAGGAGCTTGCTGCATCACATATGAGAAGCCGGCTGGAAGGTTGCTCCCAACGGCAAACCACAATCACAGTGACAAAAGTCACAACTGGGCCCCAGGAAAAAAAGCCAATCGAAGACAACAAGATTTCAGATCCAAGTAACGAAGATCATAAAGTCAGCAGTCGGTGCGACAAAATCAATGTACCTGTGTGAAGGGATTACAGCCAGGAATAGGTCAAAACTTCATACAGACAGGAGGACAAAGATAATATAAAGAGAGGAAGTATCACTCATACCGACACACAAACAAAATGGATGTTGACATTGTTCTGTTGCTGGTTTGTATTTTTTTTTTTCATTTCCGATTTTCAAAATGTGAAAAAAATATTTCAAACATCAAATCATTCTTGTCTGAACCAAAATATAGTATAAAATATAACACAAAGATTATTTTTAATCACAATAACAAAAGCGGCATAATTAACACAGGCCATTTTTGACCCACTTATGGAAGAATGTTGGGTCCAGTCACTCGTGCATCCAAGGTTTAACACACGTCACCCTGCAAAGGTCCAGGACCAGGTCACACTTGCTCAGCTCTCCTCATGCATGAACTGAAACACTTGTGTGAGGGACATCTATTTCATATACTAGACATTCATTTTTTGGTTTTTAATTCAGTCTGTAAAAAAACAACTGAAATAAGGTATTGCATTAAATGAGCACTTTGGCTGTTTTCACACTTTAGTCACATGTATAAATAAAACGTGTTTCACACAGATAACAGGTCACCGTACAGGTCACGCTCTCTGTAGGTCAGGTAGCTCATCAGCCTTGGGGGGAAGGGACCAGCAGCCATAGTTTCAGGGTCATTCAAGGTCCTGAGGCTCATGTGACTTCTGATTACCAGTCGACACAAGTGCTGCAGAGACCGTGGCTTCCCTTTGGACACAGAAACACACATAACCTCCAGCTTTTTAAATCACTTTTCAAAATGTCATGTTTTTCTCTGCTTTAGAGCGCATGTTTTGCACGTTTTTCTTATCTACAGACTTGTCTCTGCAGTTTTACCCAGTATGTCAGAAATCTCATCCCACTCCGGCCTCCTCTGCAGGATTTGTCTGAGCTTAAAACAAATGCTGACATGGCTGACGTAGTCCAGTAGCATCCTTACCACTTTGCCTACAACGTGAGCAAGGCATGATACTGACACAAAGTCACAGAACTGAAAAAGAAAAGAAAAGGGAAGTGACATATTGTAGAGGTTAGCTAACAGATGGTCTGTGTGTCTGCCTGTAGTGTCTCTTACTGAGATGACTTTAGGTTGACTGTAAATCTGATAGGCTTGGTTATGCAGCTCAGTCCAGGTACTATCCAATTCTTCACTGTCACCATGACCGCACTGGAAACACCTGTACGGTTGCAGAAATCCGATAATGAAATTGATGAATCTGAACTACATATCCTCTGTAAATAAATCGAATATTGACTAATTTCACAGCAGGTATACGTGCTTGTAAGCGTGATATCCACTGTTGAGCAGCAATCGCAGCATGACATGGTCTCTGAAGCAGTACTGCAGTGCTGTGGGGAACACCGTGTTGCTGATCACTCTGAAATAACAGTTAACCTCTGCTCCATGGGACAGCAACAGCTCCACCAAGTCGAACCTGGTTACAGAAATAAAAAAAGAAGATTTTAATGCCTCTGCTGTAACACAGCGCTGCCAATACCAGAAATGATAATAGTCAGAAATTACATGTACTGTATAGTCAAATTACATCTATAGTGATGTTAAAAAAATATTTGCCTAATCGTACTTCCTGATTTCTTACTGTTTTGCATATTTGTCACACTGCCTGTGAGCATGTTTCAGATAATAGACAAAGCTAACCTGTGTAAACACTAAATATTTTACACAGTAATTGTCCTCTAAATCTAATAAGTAGTTGGCTTTGACTAGGCCACAATTTGGTAAACATGACATAATTATTGGAGTAATATTGGTAGGCCAAGCACTCCAGGAAATGTTGGCTTTACAAAGGCTTTGTAAGCCTTTTCAGACTGATATATAGCAATGACTTTGTTTCTCATCTGTTCTTAAGTTTCTTTAAATTTTAAAACAATGAGCTGATTTTTGAGATCTTTTAGCCTCCTTTACTTTTTCACACAAATTCCTCATTCAGTAGATAATAATCGGGCCTGGGTTTGAATAGTGAATAGTGACTAAATTCAGCTTTCTATAAAAATATAGTTAATTACAGTTAAATTGCACCAAGCAGGTGCAATTACTTTTTCACACTGGGCCAGATTGGTTGGACCAGCTTTTTCCCTTAATAAATTAAATCATTGTTAAATAACTGTACTTTGTATTTACTCGGGTTAGCTTTGTCTAATTTTAAAATGTGTGACGATAGGAAACATGCAAATGTGACAAAGAAATCAGGAGGGGGCAAATACTTTTTTACAGCACTGTATGTACATACGCTATTTACCTCTCAGCACGTATAGCAACCAGTATGCATCGCAGTGGATCCAGGTCAGTTCTCGCGCCAGCCGCCAGCAACCTCTCCGAACAGGTTACATCACCGTTGGACACAGCGAAGTAGAGAGGAGTCTTCCTGAGGTCCCCGTAGTTCTCTGCAGCATTTACAGTACTTGTGCTCACAAATATAAACGACTTTTTTAAGAGGACTGGAAACTTCATCACTTTAGAAAATCCCAACATCACCAAGCATTGACTTTGCATATTGCTCTACATATATAGTCCAGTGTATAGATGTTTAGTCCTGTGTTCAGATGGATAAACTTCACAGTGATTTGCATTTTTTGCAGTGCAATGTCGCAAATATGAACCACAACTTTATCAGTGATGGGAGCTGAAGCACCCTTCACAGTCACTGAAGAGATGTTTTCATCTGCACTTGTTTTTTGCATGTGCGTGCATCTTTGCATTTACCGAATGTGTGTATTTGCGTGTACCGCTTTAGTCCTGCATAATTTAGAAACTCACTATGATAACTAAATGGCCTGAGTTGATGTTGTGTGCACGTGCGCATCCAGCTGATTCGTACCAGAGATGTGTGCATGTAGCAGGGCGTTGACATCATAACCCTTCTGGATAAGCAGCTCTAGACACTGAACCTGCCCCCCGTCTGCAGCAGAGTGGACAGGGCTCTGGCCTGAGAGGCGAATAGCTCTCTTTGTGGTGATAGGGATGAGAGTCCTCAGGATTCTGAAGAGAAAGAAGATCGGGTGGGTGGGAGATAAACAGGAAGAGAGCGGGGCAAAACACAAAACAGAACAGAGACAAAAATGTTCATTAGATCGTGGTGTGAGCTCTACTGTTATTCAGTGACAGAAGTGAAAAACAGTGATAAACAGAGGGCTCTTTGTGGCGATGAGTACAGAGAAAGCACTGCAGCTGCGGAGACAGATGCTTCACATTCAAATTGGCTGCAAAATTAGAGGAAAGTGTTTTTGGTCAAGTTATTTATTTTGGGGATTATTAGTTAGAATGTTGTTGAATGTAGTCAGATGTTATTGGGTTTGAGAGTGAGCTTAAAGTTGCATGAACTCACAGTATGTATCCTTCATACGCAGCTCTATGGATGGGCAGCTGGCAGGCGTAGCTGGCAACATTTGGGTTGGCTCCGTGCTCCAAAAGCAGCTTGACACAGTCCAGGTTTCCAGATCCGGTTGCATCATACAGGACTGTGTCTCCATTGCTTGCCTGGGCATTCACATCACCACCTAGTGGAGTTCAGAGAAAATACAGCAATGTGTGACCCATCAGGAGGTTTTTATGAGGCATGATACAACATATACTGTTTTACCGTGGTGTATGAGTATGTCTAAAACTTCAGAGTTGCCATGTTCAGCTGCGATCCCCAGCGGTGTCACGCCATGACCGTCTCTGCTTGTTATTTTGGCTCCATGTCGGAGTAACAGCATCATAATAGCTGCACAACCCTCCTGGGGTGAGGGATAGGACACACATGAACACAGAAGGAAAGAAAGGTAATAAAAACTAGAGAAAAATCAAATTTTGTGCTTAAACCTGAACTTTGAGTTTAGATTCAGCTCCATTCACCTTTGCTGCCTCGTGAATGGCCCTCCACTTGGTGAGACACACCTGCTCTACGAAGGCCCCGCCCATGATGAGGGAAAGAACCATGTCGTATGAGCGTTGTCTCACTGCTGCAAAAATGGAAAACAAAAAATGATTCCATTAAAAAAAAAGCATAATAATGAAGGTGTTGCGTCAGCTGTCTGAGTGTGTTGTGCTACCGATTAGCAGAGGTGATTCATTCCTGCTGTTGTTGTTGTGCGGTGAAGCTCCGTGCTTCAGAAGTAGCTTGATGTTTTCCACCTGGCCGGCCTCAGCTGCCAGAGTCAGAGCCGTATCACCGTCCTCCGTCTGCTCCTCCAGGGTCAGGTCGGTGGATTCCAACACTGCAACAAGAACACCATTAAGACTGCGTTAAAGGTGGAAATCTACTCAGCCCCCTGCTCCAGTAATTGTAGCTTACATTACATTCCACTAAATAGTTTGATCAAGCTGACATCACACTGGTTTTCACTCTCACCCTGCAGCACTGTGTGGAGGACATCTGGCTGCAGCTGCACAGCTGCTGCGTGCAGAGGCAGCCAGCCCCTGCTGTCACTCTCTCTGAAGGCAGACGCGCAACCTGACAGCTCCTGCAGCGCATCCACATCACCTGCCAAGATACAAACAAGAGCCACAAGGAGACTCACAGGGAAACATTTTTAATATTTATGACCAACAGTGAGTTTAAATGTAGGCGCGCCCGCCTTGTACGTTTTTGCTTAATGCCGCATGCAAAAGGCAAACATGATTAAAGGGAACGTTACCTTTTTGAATGGCTGCCATAATCTTCATAAACTCCACACTATTTGTGTTTTTCCTATGAAAATGAAAGCGTTTACTCTGGAAACACTATGATAGAGCTTCATTATACTTTTGATTGCTGATTGCCTTAAAATTTTGTTAATTTGGAACATAAACAACTCCTAACAATACAGTTAGGTCCATAAGTACAGGTTAAGTATAGTAAAAGTTCATATAATCTTGGTTTTTTCCACAATTGTGCAGGCTCTTTTCAATGTTTTCTGGCAAACTTTAATCTGGCCTTCCTGTTCTTGAGCATAACCAGTGGTTTGCACCTTGTTGTAAACCTTCTGTATTTACATTCTGCTGATTGTAGACTTTGACAATGGTACGCCTACCTCCTCAACAGTGTTCTGACTTGGTTAGATGCAGGATGAATTATGTGCATAGGGCTGTATTCTCTGCTCGGATTCAGACAAATGCTGCAAAAGTGACTGGATGATGCTTCAGAATGAGAACAGATCGTGATCTGAAGCATACTGGGAATGCTACTCAAGCTGAAAGTCTGCATTTCAATCACATCTGGATTGTTTCATTTAAAACCACTGTGACATTGTATGCGGGCAAAATTACAAAATCTGTATGATTGTCCAAATACTTATTGACCTAACTGTCAATTTTCATTAATAATAAACATTAAAGACCCTTCTTGGTTTTCCATACCTATCTGTTTGCACTGAGCATGGCAGCTTGTAGGCATCTTGAATGCTCTCTCGAACAGCAAACTCAATCAAGTCTTCATTTATGGCCTCCTGTTCAAAGTCATCCATTTCTATATGTAGAGACAAAAACAAGAGAAAGGAGCACTTGAATTCTTTTCATAAATAGGAGTTTTGCGTACAGTATGAAGGTGAATTATACAATGTAGAAACCTTATCAGTCTGTAGATCGTGCTTTCTGCACAGCATGCAACTTTCTGGCACGGTATCACCACTATTCATGCAGGACATAAGCATGCTAATGTAAAGCAGTCCTATTGGAAATTACACAACAACCTTAACTTGCATTTCATGTTAGTCATATTAGTCGGTCTCACCGGTTGATCTGAATAAGTCCCCTTGAGGTCTCCAGCTCACAGCCTGGTTGTGTTTTTGTTTTGCAGTGTGTTAAGCTGTTTGGGTTATATTTAGATGTGACCTGCTTTAGATGACCTGCCTCAGCTCAGACTATGCCTTCCACGTCTTCTCTTACAACTGCAGCAGACAAAGTACTTCTGCACTGTGTGTTCAGTCGAATGAAGTTATTTGTTCCCATGTAATTGAAACCCGCAAGCTTGTGAGAAGTTGAGACCTGACTTTTGGAAACCTGAATTCATTGCATTAGCTCAAAATAATAAAATGATGAAGAAGTTCTACATATAATTAATAATCTTAACAATATACATCCCAGTAATGTGAATGAAGAAGTTGAATCAGATGTATGCAAAAGAAGGGATACTTCCATTCCAAAGCTGCTTACATGGAAAGACAGTGAAAGGACACATGGCTGCAGCTGATTTCTGATTGATTTGCATAATTCATTCCTGTATAATGTTGGAAAAAATAGTGGAAAATGTCAGTGGTAATTTCTCAAAGCCCAGAATGATCTCCACATTAACAGTCTCTCAACCTTAAGTATATTACACTTATGCCCATATCTAGCAGAAAGGGACTGAGCTGATTTGGCCTGTTTGAAGTTTTGAAAAAGTGGGGGGTATTTTGCTCATGATCATGATTCATAGTAAAATTTGATCATAAAGTAATAAAAGGGAAAGCAGTTACAGCAAAATGTTTAAAAACCATAAGCTGCCAAAGTCTGGGGAACTGACATAGGAGAATTTTTGGAAAAATAGATACAAAAGGGAAATGGATATTAGCAAATTAACTAACTACAAAGAAACAAACAATTTAAGATAGCTTTAATCAAATCCAAAATAACCAAAAATGTAATTAAATATCAAATTATGTTAACGGCATATTGAAATTAAATCATTTCAATATTTTTTTATTCAATGAAATTCTTTTAATGACTTTAATGAGAGCTTTAACAAAGCAAAAAAACAAAACAAAAACATGGTTAATCATTTAATATAAAGTGGCTATAAAAAGTATTGTCATTAAATAATTTTTAATTTTTTATTTTTTGATGCATAGATCTTGCAACTAGAGTAATGTATATTTCATGGGGTTTCCCTCCCTGCGTCCAAGGGTTTCCATAAAAGGCCGTTTGCAGCTCCTCCCCCTCACTTTTGTCAGTCAGAGGGTGCAGGTGTTGGTAATGGATGTCAAGGTAGGCCAAACGGGTAGTGAGACCTTGTTTGATGGGATTTGATCTCATATCTTACCTAAAACGATGCTACTGTAATTGGGATGGGCTGCTAGCTTGCCCGCTGGCAAGTTCAACGTAAACTAGAGCTAGCTATCTTGGTTTTAACAAAATATCAGAGCAACTCTTACAAGTAATCCCAGCTAACTTGGCAGTAGCTTTGCTTGTGTAAATTTTTACAGTGTGACTAATTGAATTCCCTTATAATTTAATCTTTTTAAACAGTGGCCCATGCTTATGTCAAACTGTACTATTTATGCTATATTTGACAGTAAATTTAAGGTGGCACTTAGAGCAAGATTTTATTGTCATCAGCTAGTTTTATACTGGTTTTAAACCCTAAAAAATGATATATAGCCACATTTGTATAGCTTTAACAATACTGGGACTGTTAGACTTAAATGTGAGACTATGGTGAAATCTCATTTCTGCTGCTGCACACAAACGTCACCAATCCCAAATTTATTTTTTGACTGTAAATGACTATACATAATGTAAAGCATATACACTGTATGATGTAGCAATACTTTCATATTCATCCCAAAGGTGCCTTTTCTCCTCCTGAGTCTCTTGACAAATTTGACTCTCTGCTTTGAATATGGGTCACCAGTAACCGATCTCCATAGAGTGGCACTGTTGGTGAGTTGCTACAGGCTTCATGTATGTCACATTTGTTGTATGTTGCGGGGCTTTTCTTGGCCCAGAGTTAACCTCTGGAGAACTTACAGAAATATTTTTTTCTTATTTCTGACAATATGATAACCAAAGAGGTCTGCTATGCTTGGATAAAAGAAATTTTTAATTTTTAATCACAATTCTGTTGGATTTTTTATTTATTTTTTAACAAAAACCTCTCTGATGGTCCCCATTTCCCCTATAGAAGCAGGATCTTCCCAGTGACTATTTGATTCCCATTAGTTATGTTCCCAACGAGGTGGTATGTATGAAATGAAGAAATATGAGCAAATTTCTTTTACTATTTTTAATTTTATTTTTGTTTGACAAAGGTTGTTCATGGTTTTTGTACATGCCTCTCCAGGCTGGCACTTGTTGGGTGGTGCTAAATATCTATCCATTGGAGCAAAGTCTTGAGAGATTGACCAACAATTTTGGTGACAAATCCACCAACAGAGAAAGCCTGCTTATTTTTATTGAAATTCTCCAAACTGTGTGGCTGAAGTTTGACCATATGAAAGTGGTGGGTAATCATCGACCTCATTCATTATATGCATTTCTGACAGCATATTTATTTTAAATAGCGTTTGGACTGTGACATGCATAGTTTTAAAATGAGATGTAGTTTAATTTGTAGAAGCACACTGGTTCACTGTGCAAGAAAACACTGAAACTCAGTTTTAGGCAGAATTTGTTTTTGTACACTTAATTGTGTAATTTAGTTATTTCAAATGAGCATGTTATCTGATTCCCACAGGAAATATTGATGCAGTACTTTGATTGCCACTATCACGAACAGCACATACCATCTGGCCCTTACTTTGACTACATGGAAAACCTCTTACGTGGAGCTGATCGAGGACTATTTGATTTCTCATGTGAACCACCACTGTGCCCAAGTACTCGACAAACATTTACGACTCCTCAAGAAACATCCCAGTCACCACCTAACCTTGGAACTCAACAAACACCAGGTACAATGTTAATGCAGTTAATGCACCAGACTTGGGTGCTTTATGTAACTTAGAAAATAATGGGGGGAAAGTGTACTCAGTGTATTTTTTTGTTTTGTTTTTTGTTTTTTTGTTTTTTGTCATTTTCAGAGTTTCTGGAGGTCAACAACTTGACGCTTTTGATTTTTGTCACCATCTCCATTGCAGTTTGTGTCATTGTTTGTGTGTTTTTGTGGCTGGTGAGTAAACCCTCAAACCCCTAACCCAGTAAGTTTATCAACTTTCCTTGCCCTGAAATTCCCAACAAATTAGTGAGTAAAATCTCTAACAGAATGCAACAGTTCATCAAATCGTTTTTTTTGTTTTTTGTTTTTTTGTTTTTTTCCCCAGCAAGTACTGTTGAGTCAACAATTTCATTCATCCATGCTGGCTTATGGATAAATGCCAACAAAATGTTTGAGTTTAATACCGATAGAAAACACTTTATAGTGGTGTACTTTTATCAGTAAAATATGATCAATATGTTAAACAAACCTGCCAGACATTCCTATTTGGTATTAAAATTGTGTGCATGTTGGTGTAACACCTCCTTTTAGGACATGCTATGTAGCTTCACAGGAAGCATTACTTCCACGAGTCTGGTTGGTTGGGAGTAGCGTTTGCAGTAATAAGAGGGCTAAGCATAAAAGCAAAGCGGTCTAAATTTACTGATCAATCTGCACTTTTATTCTCATCTATTGTCATGAGCTTTTGGTAGTGACCACAAGTTTGAGTTCGTGGATACAAGCAGCAGAAAGGAGTTTCCTTCTAAGAATGGGCTCTCAGTCATTTGAGGAACTCTGAGTAGAGCTGCTACACATTGAAAGGGGTCAGCTGAGATTATTCAAGCTACTGACTAGGCCTCCTAGGTATGTTGTTGTGGTCATGTCCCACCGGGAAGAGGCCGATGGACAGACCAAACACTCGATGGAGAGACTACATCTCTCGGCTAGCTTGGGAATCTCTTGGTGTCACCCCCGGATGGACGAGCTGGTGTGGGGAGTCTGGTCTTCTCTGCTCAGACTGCTGCCCTTGCAACCCAAACCCAGATAAGCAGTGAAAGATGGATGGCTTGTTGCACAATGGCATAAGCATTAAGCTCAAAACTCTTTTTCCTGTGTACAACCTCTCCAGAAGTGCACTCTTGGCTTTCGGTTATTCAGGCAGATAACTGCATTAGTGCAGAAATGGTCCATAATGCAAGCTGAGAAAGCACGGGACCACAGCTGTGCTGCTGCTTTTTAACAGTTCAAAGAGGACTGCACGGTCCTCTCTGGATAAAGAAACCCTAATTTGGGGTATCTATTTTGAACCTCTTCTAAAGAGAATCGCCCTTAGTGTTAAAACTTCAACTCAGCTGTACAGACTCTTGGCCTGTGTGGTCTAATAAAGCCTATTTCCTAATGAGTCTTCATTTTAGTTGGCACTTCCAGGAAGGCAATTCTTCTAAAGTTCAACAGCTCATCAAAAATTCAGCAGTACTTTGAGGCTGTTTTTGTATGATAAACATTATTTGGGTGCTCTTTTTTTTTTTCGTTTCTCCAGTCCAGGTCCCGAAGGCGTTTACATGTTTGCAGCACTGAAAATATTCAAATGCAACCTACTAAAATGACCCAAACTCCGACTGCCTCTCTGAAGCATGATTAATAAGAAGGAAGGGAAAAAAACTGGACGGCAGTAGAACGACTCTCTCTCCAGGTTGTTCTGTTGTTGGCACGAGTCTGCTGGATAAATGAGTGATCTGATGGCTTCAAGGCACAGACTAAAGCTGCTGTATGAGAGATTGCGGAATTCAACTGGTGCTATCTCGCAAACAACGCCACAAGAATCCGGTCTTATGTTTTTTTTATCTCTCAATTCTTTTCCTCCAACCTGATATCTGAGCAAGTGAAGCAAGAAGAGGGGAACCGTGGCAACAAAACGGGACATCTTTAGTTATGTGTTTGAACCGATGTGAATTAAATGAGATGATGCACAGCTGCATAATGTGTCTCTTTCTCTCCACTAGCTTACTGCTGCCACTTAATGGAGTTGATTAAAGTTCTTGCATTTTGTATGGCACAAGAAAACAGAATATGGATGTCATATTTATTTGTCATGAACAAACAGAATAGATCTCTTTGAATGACAAATATTTTTAAATACAAATTAACTTATTCGTATAGTCATAGCGTTGTTCGTCATGATTGTGCGCTGAGATGATTTCCGGGTCAGAGGCAGGACAAGGCACAAATGGAGAAATTAGTGGCTGGATAGCTGTCAAAAATTGCTTCTCATCCTGGCTGCTGTTTAAATCAGTTTGTCTGACGCTTCTGAAAAGACCAGGTTCTTTATCTGCTATTCTGAACTGGAGCCATTCAGGTGGTGATTCAGTTTGGGAGTCGCAGTTAAAAATATCATTGAAACCTCAAATCAAAATATCATTACACTGTCATCAACTGGCCGTTTCCCTGTGGTTAGAGATCGGCCTTTAACTGGAGTATATTTACGCAAGTCCACACATGGAATTCTTGCTTTCTATAATGTAATGTATAAAAATGCACTTCACAAGTGGGTTATGCAACACCTATACGTGCAATAATGTGTATTTTTGAGCCCAAGTATGTCCAAAATAATCAAAAAATATGTAAACGGTAATAGGTTACAGCAAAAAGTACTGCATCAAAGAGCACGGCTGAACGTCTGAACTACCTCATCTGATTTTCACTTTCCAAACAACAGCTTGAGGAATAACCTTGACATATTCTAAGCGAAATATTCTCTCGAGAGAACAAGCACCCACTTTATCCTGACGAACAAATTGATATGTGGGAGTTTATGGAAAAGTCTCAGACAGCGTCAGTGTGCGACATAATGACTCAGCCTGTAGGCGGCCACTCCAACACGTCAGAAGTCCGCCAGTTTGTCTGAAGTGAAAGCAGACTGCCGGCCCATCCTCAAGTTTCACTACACGCTTGGACATTACACCCACAGACACACAGAGATGAGCTCTGTCTTTGGACTGAAAAAACTGAATTTCATGCACTGCATTTGAGAAACTTGGGATTCTTTCTCCATATGAGGAAGAAAGTAAGTATGTCCTTTAATTTTTTAATGTTTTTAACATATGTAATGTGTGTAACTGTATACGCTTCCATACTGGCATTGATTTTTCTTAACTTTGCTCATTAAATAACAGGAATATTATTTTATATTAACATTTCCTGCATTCTTTGTTTTTTGTCAGCTGCTTACTTGTTATGAAATGCCACTGTGTGCTTTTTATAAAGAAATGTAGCCTTGTGGTTTTCTTCAAGCTGACTGTTTTATTAGATAAGTGCTAAACTGATAAAGGGAATATTACAATCATATAACATTACAGGACTACATCAAAAAGTTCATGTTATGAAGCATGCTTCCTTTTTGAGCTGCATTTAAAAGCAGTTGAATGTTAAGAGATCTACAGTAAATGCTGCACGTACTGCTGCTGCAGCACTCTTCAAGAGGCAGTAACGTGACACGCTAAGAGGAGTAAAAAAAAATTGATTTTTTTTTTATAAAAGGATAAAATGCATTTTGCATTAAATGTGACACTAACGAGTTTGCACATTCATTTATTAATTCATTGTTTATCATTTGAAGCAGTGAGTTTTAAACTGGGAGTGTCACTTTACTTCACTGACAGTCTAAAATATATGTATCGTACATTTACTGTAATATTGACAAAAATGAGAAAAAGGTTATACTAGGTAAAGCAGATCATTAAAATAGTTTATAGATCAAATTTAAAAATAATAATTGGATCCACAGATTTAGCTCCATTTCTAGTCTCAAAATGTTGCCCAGCCTTTTATTTAATGGCTTTTATGCCTGGCAAAGACATTGGAATCCTCACCTTTAAGTAAGGGGGGAAATTGATTATCCTGTAATACAACCACACTACCCTCAAACAAAACACTGAGGTTGAACTGGTCAACTTTCATTTCAGGGATGTGGTAAATCAATGCTCAGTAACAACTCAACACCACAGCAGATGTCGATTGCTGTACCTTATGTAATGTAAGGTATACATTTCCCCCTCAGATCTTGAAAGCACCTTGTCTCCTCCTGAGTCTGGTAACAAGTTTGAATCTTTGCTCTGGAAAATTTGGGTCACCAATAACTGATGATGTGAACAAGCTGCCAGTATTGGTGAGTTACTACAAGACTGATACATATCATATTTATAGTGCGTTGACACATGAACTTCTGTTTTGTGCTTCGTGTTAAATTATCTCTGTAAGAGCTTCCATTCCTGATCATTTGTAGTAAAAACAAAAATCCTTCCCTGTCATTAATTCCTCTGTAGAAGCAGAATATCCCCTATGATTATGAGATTCCTGTTAGTTACATTCCCAAAGAAGTGGTATGTATAATGCAACGTGAGAGAATCAAATATAAAATTGGTTTGAATTGAATCAAAGCTGCTCATAGTTCTGTTTCTCCGTCTTCAGGCTGGCACCTGCTGGGTGGTGTTAAATATCTATCCACTGGAGCAAAGTCTTCGGAAGCTGGCCAGCACGTTTGGCACCATCTCCACCAACAAAGACAACGTACTCCTCTTCATTGCAATGCTCAAGAGTTTACGCTTCACCTTAGACCACGAGAGGCTGGTGGGTAATGAGACACTGTGGTGTATGCTGCTCATCTTCTCTGCAAACAGTACTTGAATTTGTGCCTTTGTAAAATTTAAAGTATCAGTGATCAGGTAGAAAGCCCTTTTGGCAGTGTGTTGGTGTGCGTGTAGCACGACATGTTGTAAAATCAAAGTTACCTGTGATATTGTGCAGACCGTTGGGTGCCTGCACTCGTATGTATATCTCCATCAGGTAACGCTTAGAAATGTTCAGGCCTACAGGGCATGTGGAAACACACTAACACTATGCTAGTTTTGCAAATAAGCCCTGCAGCTTAATTTTATGCCAAATTAATGTAATAACCTAGACAGTGAGGGACTTGTTTTAAGGAACATTTAATTGAATAACTGAGGTATTTAAGGTTGGCTTGTTGTCTGATTTCCCACAGGAAATGGCGATGCAGAGCTTCCAGTGTCACTATCAGGAACATGGCTTACTGACTGGTCCTTACTTTGACTACATCAGAGACTTTTTACACACTGCTGCTCAAGGACCAACTGACTTCTCCTGTGAGCCACCACCATGCCTTAGTACTGAACAAACACCAGGTACAGTCCTCACTTGCATTTAAAGTTCAGATTTTTTTTGTGAAAGCTTCCAAAATAAAGTAGATTATTGGAGGGGGAGGCATTCGTTTAGGATTAGGAATCCAGCTGTGTACAGTAATCAGATATGCAGCCTTAAGGCAGAAGCTTTTCTTTACCAAAAAAAAGAAAAGTAATTTGATGACCTCTCAAAAACAAAAGGTATTGAAATGACCAGTCCCTAGCTGTAACTAAGATTGATTTCCATCAGAGTATTCTGTCACACATTCAATAAGGGGATTGGTCTGCCCTCTATCATATTTCTAAGGTGTAAGTGTGATTGGTTACATTGTCAATAACGTCCTCCTTGCAGGGGTTCATGAAGGGAATCGTGGGGATGCTTGGTCGAGAAGATCTCCCCTGCTTTTGGTTCTCATCCCCTTCATCACTTGTGTTGCTCTCATAGTGTGGTTGGTAAGTGAATTTAGACTTGAGGCTTCCGTCTGCTGGTCTTTGTGGGTTAGGCTAAAAAAGCCTGGCTGTTAATGTGCCCTTATTATATTGAGCACTTCCAGGAAGGAAGTTGTAAGGTTAACAGCTCATCAAAAATTCATTAGTAATCTGAGACTCTGTTAACGTAATAAAACCCACTTTTCAGATTTACTTTCTGTCATATGAAACTGTATGACCAACACAGGCTTGGTGCTTTTCTTGTTTTCCTTGTTTTTTTTTTTGTTTTTTTTAGGTCAAGTCTGGAAAGCGTTTACCAGTATGCAACACTGAAAATAGCCAAATGGAACCTTCTGACACGATCCCAACTGTGTCTATCTCCATCCCACTTCAAACACTCACCCACGCTGCTGACGCTCAGCCAGAGCGGGAAGCGATTGCTGAACATGAAAGTGGATGAAGGACGTTTAATAAAGAAGGAAAAACTTGGACAGCAGCATACCAACTCACTCTCCAGTCAGCTGGATAAATGAGTGGTCTCCTCTGCTTTCACTCATCTGAGTGCAGGGTCCACAGCTACTCTGCAAGAGCAAACCCAAGCTGTTGTGGAGGCAGGTGTACTACAAAATTCCCCATCGGCACTTCTTTGGTAGCTGATTATCTTTCAAAATGGCTGGCAAAGCACAGATTTTCCTGCCTTGGGTTCCGCTGGCCTATTTTGTGACAACCAGATTCAGTTTGTTTTTCCTCACACTCTGGACTAATATCTTTAAGGGGTTTGTGCTTCACTTTGAAGCTGCAATCAAAAAAAAAGTATCACTGGAGCTTAAAATCATGTAATCATCACACGTCATCCACTTGTTGACTCTGTCTGGGCGGTTGCCAAGACCGCCCTTTCACTGCTTCGCAACAACCTGATTTCTACAAGCAGAAAAAGACGTACAGTCACATTAATGCTATCTTGAAAGGAAACAACTAAAATGCTGTTGCTGCGTTTTATCTCACGCAGCCTGTCCTGTACTTGTTGTTGACATTATTATGATCTGCGATCTGTCGCAAATTGCAAACCTGCTACTCACAAACAACACACTGAGCAGTTCAACAAGTGTCCCACTTTGTGTATCAAAGATCTGACCAGATGGCAGATAGCCATCGCCAGAGGCACTTTGAATCCAGTCATTGTATTTTCAAAGCCGTTGCCCAGTGATCTATAGCTGCTGCTAAGCCGCAGTGAGTGTGTTAGAGGTTTTAATGCCTTATTCACTGGGTCAATCATGTTCAGTCATGAGAACATGACTCCCCAAGTGTGAGCGCTCTTGTAGTGCATGTGTCACAGACGAAGCGAGAGACAGTGCAGACAGGACGAGGGAAAGTGAGGGAGATAGGGACTGATAGATGGATGGACGGATGAGCTCAGTGAGAAGCATAAGGAGGGCTTGTTCTCGTCACAAAAGAACTGGCCGTAGGCTGGAGGAAATGCCAGTTACAAACACGACTGATGTGCACAGATCCCTATGAATCAACAGGCTAAGAATCCTTCTAGACCGCAGGCTAAGCACCCTACAGAGCCCGGTTAGTATTCAATAACAGTTGACTGTATTTGAATGATTAACTTCCAAAACACACCCATGAAATATGGATATATCTTTGGTAAAATGTCTTTCTGTCGTAGACTTTGTGTAAACAGTGTTGTCTTTATAGTGAACCGTTTGTAAAGGTTTCATATTTGTATTTTGTGAAAACATGTTATTTGTGTGTGAAGTATTTAAGTTATTTGGTTACGTGTTTCACTTACAAAAATGTTTCCAGCTGTTTTAGTGATGCAAATGATGAACACGCCCAATTATATCGTGAATGTACAGGAGCTAGACAAAATACTGTGAACGCAGAAAGGAAAGCGCGTTGTAACTCTCACCAAATTCAGAAATCCATCATTTTGCACTGCAGGGGTCTGATCACATTTACAAATTACTATATTTAGATACTGTCCCCATATTTGAAAACTGTTTGTCTTGGATTTCCTCTGTTTTTCCTGAGGTTTTTCACCTATACAGTTCATCTGACTGACATGACTGCAGTTTGGGAGGAGCATTTTAACTGTTTTTTTTCCCCTCATATTGATAATTCACATGCAACATTGTTGATTGTTCAGTATCTTTTATACCCAGACGAAAGCAAATTTTACAAGATGTCAGTCACCACATTGGACCTACTATAAATCTGTTACAGTGTAATTATTTGCAGAGAGCCTTTCCACTCTCCTCTGCTTGTAGTTTCTTATTTTCTCCACATTTTGCTGTGCTCAGGAGGTTTCTGGGCTTCAGCCCTCCAGCAGTGGGTGTTTAACTCCCAGCCAATAAAGGTTTTCTGGCTTTGAGGGTGGGGAAACGTGGTGACAACATTACACGCCTCCGTCTCACTCCTCTGCTCTCTGTCTGTGTTGTGAATGTCTGTACATCTGTTCCTCCAGAGGCACATAGTTAAAGCAGAGTGGCCAACTGGCAATGCTGCACCTTGCTGTAAAGGTGTGGCTGTGTTTGTTGTCTATAGGGTGACCGCAGTGAAATAATCAGAAAATGTTGTTTCATCTCCCTCGTGTCATTCACCCCTTTTTTTTTTTCTTTTTTTTTTTTTGGTTATTCTGTTGTTGAGGAGGCAAAAGTGGGGAAAAGCTGGATGTAACATCTGTAATTAGCATAAAGTGTATACGATACTGTCGCCTTTTACTGTAGTTTTCATTGCAATATAATTTTTTTTTTTTTTAAGGAACTTTATTTTTGCTAATCCATTTAAATGGCTACTAAGCAGATGTTCTGCCGGTATTGTGCATATATTCTGATTTGTCATCAAAGTGAACCAAGTTTTTTTGCCTTCCTGAAATCTTTGTAATTGAAACTTCATGTTCAGGCATGTGAAGTTTATTTAACACTGGGCTTGATAAAAGGCCTCCATTCTTTTCTTTTCTTTTTTCTTCTTCGGGGAATATTTCGACATGCATGACCTCTGAACAAAGTATTGTATTCAGAGAGAATGGTGTTATTCCAAAGGGACAGAGGTTTATTTGGAGAATTTTTCCACATTCTGTTTTTCTTCACAAACAACACTACCACCCATAAAATGTCTCTGTGACTGTTGCAATAAAACTAATTCATGAAGTTATGTTCAACAAAACAGTGCATTTGGGCTAAATGTTGTTAGACTATAAATGATTACATTTTTCGACAAAGCACCTAAGATCTTGTAAGATTTGGTGTACACAAGATGAATTACTTGACGTTTACATGTCTTTAAGACACACCTAATAATATAGAATAATTAAGTTTTAATTGACCATTTAATTTTCTTACTTGCAGACCATGGCCAGCAGAAATCGGGTTATATTGAAAAGCTTTAGGTAAATATTCTATTCAGCCTTTTAATTTATAGGGCAAATAGTGTATATGCTAAATCACCACTTCCTTGGGTACACCTTGATTAGTGTTGGATTCAACCCCCTTTTGCCTTCAGAACTGCTTTAATTCATCATGGCAATAATTCATCAGGTGCTGGACACATTCCTTTCAGATTTTTCTTCATATTAACATAACAGCATCACACAGTTACTGCAGATTTGTTGACTGCACTACACCGCCACCACCAGCCTGAACTGTTAATAAAAGGCTGGATGGATTTATGTTGTTTATGCCAAACTCTGACCCTATATCATCAAAGTACCAAAAATGGTCAACTTTATTATCCCCAAAGGGCATTTTGTGGTACACTAGCGGCAAACAAGCGCGCAATGAAAAATATCAGACACAAATAAGAAAAACAACAACAGGACTCCACAGTTTGTCACTTAAAACATTAATGGCAGCAACGACAAAGGAAAACTTGTTAGTCCTGCACCGTGGTAATTTGTGTCTGCAGCCAGATGGAAGCAGCTCAAACTTCGCTGCCGGAGGGTGTGATAATTTTGCAAGAATTGGTGGAGACTTGCTTAGAATATTTAAAATCTAAAATGTTGAAAATTAATGAAAATTAATTAATGTCACTGATGACTGTCATCAACATGACAGTCATCAGTGACATTACCCAGGCATTTGTGACATTACCCAGGCATTTTGTACTCATCACTGGCCAATCTTGGGCCAATTTTGGTGAACCTGTGTGAACTATAGCCTGTTTCCTGTCCTTAGCTGACAGGATTGGTACCTGGTGTGGTCTGCTGCTGTTGCCCATCTGCTTCAAGGTTCAAATTGTGCAAAAGCAAAGATTGCTGCTGACTGGTTATTTTCTCTCATTTTCTGCACCATTTTCTATAAACCTTAGAGATGTTTGTGGGCAAATCCCAACAGATCAGCAGTTTCTGTACTCAGAACAACCTGTCTAGTAGCAAAAACCATGCAAAAGTTACTTATATTACGTTGCTTTGTTGACTCTCAATATAATGCTTGGTTTATATTGCCTGATTAGATATTTGGGTTAACAGGCAGTTGAACAGGTGCACCTACTAAAGGGGCAA